TATAACACAAAATAATAATTAATAATATTGATAGATTTTTTGTAAAAATAATAAAAGGATTTTCTCTTTTATACTTTTGATGAATTTCAAATTTATAATTTACTATAGTAGAAAATAATGTACGAAAAGAGGGGGTAAAGATAATTTTAGGATATTTACATTTTGAATTAAATAAAAAAATTAAAAATAAATAAATAACACTCAAAAAGATTATTGATAAATTTAGACTATTGAAGATTTTGAACAGTAAAACACAAATTTAAAAAAAAAAAGAATATTCTCATAATAAAAAAATTTATATATATGCTATATTAGAAGAAAAGTAGTATCAAAATATTGAGTCAATTGACAAGTTAATAAAAAGTCACAATAGTAAATGTATAATATTAAGTACTCACTAATTTAATAAAGAATAAATAAGGAACAAATAATTTATTTGATTACTATATGATGTGTATTCTTTTATTTTGTATAAATTTTGATATATTTTTGCATACTGTATTAAAATTTTAAATAACAAATAATATTTATTAAAATAATATAATCTATCATAATTTTATAAAATTAATATTTTGTCAAATTATCAGCATTGCAGGGTTTTAAGTTCAAGAAGAAAAAAGAAAAAGTAAGATAATAACTTATGAAGAAATGTAAAACACGTTTGCTTATTTGTGGAATTCACGTAACAAAACCTTAAAATAAATGAGGCTTACATTCAATTCAATTGGGTCCCTTTGATTATTTAATAGCAGTCGAACTTTTAGGATTTAGGAACTTGAATTCAACTGGGTCGATCTGCTGAAGAGGAGCAGTAATCGGGATAAAAAAATGAAACAAATGGATATAGAGTTAGTGAAGAAATTCTTGGAGAAAGAAGGAGGGAACAATGAATCCACAGTAGATTCCATGCCTTCAAGATTCCTTGAAGCTTTTGTCTCATATGGCATAAAAGTTGACCTCGTTGAACCAGGCCGTATTCTCTACTCTTTCCAAGTCCCTCCTCGTCTAGTGGTAATTAAGTGCTTCATTCATCTTCTGATTTGTACTTACCAACCATTTCATTTGTTGCTGTTGTTTAATTAATTGGGATTTTCCAGAATGCGGGTAATTTTCTACATGGAGGAGCCACGGCGACGCTTGTGGATATTTTGGGTTCGGCTGTTATTCATACAGTAGGTGCACCCTTTACTGGTGTCTCCGTTGAGATCAACGTGTCCTACTTGGATGCTGCTTTTGTTGGGGTAAGTTGTCCTCTTTCTTGTTTTTCAGATTGAAATTTGTTAGATTTTTTGTACAAATACTGAATTATTGAGTACTGGAATGAGGATTTATCTAGCGGACCCCCAGCTAGTTTGGGATTGCATATTTGTGGTTAAAGTAAATTTGGGTTGTGAGTTTGGCTCTCTTTTTTTCTTTTCGTAATGATGGTGCTGTCTAGGCTGGCTACTACCCACCAACATAGGTATCGGATAACTCTGCCCACCAAAGCTTAGTTAGATGGGAAGAAATCACCCAATGCCTCACTGGGATCATAGTTCTCTTCCCACTTCATTGACCATTAGGCCACACCCTTGGGTGTGACTCTTTTATTCCTTCTGGTCATGTATTTATGGTACTTTTATTGATTTGCTTTGCGATTAGGTTCGATGTTGTGTTTCATCTTTACCGCACGAATGTACTAGGATGTTGGAAGATATTAGCTTTTTGCATAATAATAGGTTTTCCTAAACGCTCTCCCTGTCAAGCATTCCGCTCGTATGCTGTCAGGAATTTAGTAGAGTGGAAAGAGAAGAAAAGCTAACTACTAAATGGAGAGCTTTACAGGAAAATGAGTAGGATTTTGCACCAAATAAGAGGCTCTCAAGAAATCATAAGAAGGATAAACTTTTAGACAGCATTATATTGTTGATCTGATGGATTTAAGGCCCTTATTTCATGGTGGTAGTCTTTGATAAGCCATGCAGTTTTATTTGCATAGCTTCTGGAACATTCATTAAGTATTTACGTCGCTATGAGGGGGAATCTAGTTAACCTGAATTCTGTATGAAGGCCAGTTTAGAGGACAGTTTGAAAAAGTGTTCTGGTTTTAGAAATTCACAAACTTTAGTTCATAAATTCTACTATGGGACGTCAGAGGAACATAGGCCTTCTTAAGTATGCAGGTAATCTTGGAAATGCCTCATTCACCAGCCTCTAGCAATGCAATATTGGGATACACGTACATGTTTTTACTTCTACAGGATAAACATGAACAGCGTTGATTTTGGAATTTAAGATCCAACCAGGAAAAAAAAAGAAGTTGGTGCAATAGCATGGACTTAAGCAATAGTCAGTTTAACAATTCGACTGTCTTGATTGAGAAGCTTCAGCTTTAATCTTCTTGTAGAATGTTAATGCTAACTCCAAGCGAAGAACCTTATGGTGGCAAAGAATAAGGAATTAGAATAAAATGTCCCTCTCTTTGCACTTGGACAATATATAGATAAATCCTGTAATATTGGCATCTAATTTACAATTTGAGGAAGTAATAGTCTAGCAACTTAAAGCACTTAACCTTAGTGCTATTAGTTGCAACATAAGTACATGTGAGCAAAACTTATCATTTGTGATGGGTAGTCAAAATACTTCGTTGAAATAGGAGGTACTTTGGTTCTTGTAGCAGCAAAAAATTGCACCAAGCAAAGGACTTTCACCCGCTAAGACTTTGTTTCTTGTAATTTTAAATTTTAATCGTTCTCCCAACTGGAAGGGGAGCCTTGGTGTAACTGGTAAAGTTGTTGTCATATGTCAAGTAGGTCACGGGTTGGAGTCATGGAAACCATCTCTTGCAGAAATGCAGGTTAAGGCTGCTACAATAGACCCTTGTAGTCCGGCCCTTCTCCGGACCCCGCGCATAGCGGGAGCTTAGTGCGCCGGGTTGCCCTGCCATGCCTCTCCCAACTGTATCTAGCAAGGAAGATAACGGAAACAGAAGAGCAGTTTTGCGCCTAATTTAGCATGCAGATATCTACACCTGCATATTTAGACTTTCTTGTTACCAAATGTTATCACCTTCTTCAGTCATGTACCAGCCCAGTGTTTCTCAAATCTTGAACCATGCACCGTGTCCAGCATGAGATTCTACTGTTATCTAATTTGTTTCCTCTTTTTATTGGTAAAAGTTTAACTAGAAGTGAAGCGTATTAATGTGCTTGCTGATTCTCTTCCTTCTATTTTTTTCTTTTAAATGTTGATTGGTTAAAGACCTGCCAATTTTTGTTTGTTTTACTTGCTAAAAATTCTAATATAACTTGTTATAGCCAAATTTAGTAGTAGTTGGTGATATGCTTTTTCACATATATATTATTCCATTTTAGGAGCTGTATTTTCTGAATCGTGCGAGTCAATATTGGCTAATTTAAAAATGCAATATCCTCATTCAACTGTTGTCTTATCTTACATAATCAGGAGGAAATCGAAGTTGAAGCCAAAGTATTACGTGTTGGGAAGACAATCGGTGTTGTCAGTGTTGAGTTGAGGAAGAAAGAGACGGGGAAGATAGTTGCACGCGGTCGTCATACCAAGTATTTGGCTGTCAATAGTAAGCTTTGAGCTACTACATATCCATTTGCTGGGAATCCAGTTGGCTGCGACCAATGAAATCCTTTCCATGGAAATTTTACCATATACATCACAAGTATTTTTGGCGTGTACAATATTACTCAACTGAATATTTTAGTACAGGCGTACGTTCGTACATGCTCATTTTATGTACTCCCTCCGTTTCATATTAACTCAACAGTGTCTCCTGTACTGCGGTATTATATTCTCCTTCATAATAAGGTGTTTTTACACTAAAGTCAGTTGATGTGCCATAAAAAGGGCAAATGGCATTTGATCTTGAATAGGAATTCCATGCATTCAAATGCTAAACAGGCTATATACTGCTACATACATGGTGATGAATAAGATGGTTGATACTATTCTCTTTTCTCGAGGGATGAATTTCGTTAGAAGTACTATAATTGAATGGGGTAGCCCGGTGCACGAAGCATCCCGCATTCACTCAAGGTCCGAGGAAGAGCCGTACTCCAAGGGGGTGTGATGTAGGCAACCTATCCTGATGCAATCCCACAGACAACTTTATTGTTGCTCCAAGAATCCCCTTCTAGTACTATAATCGAATAGGTTCACAATGTAGCAGATGTTCAAAAATAACTAGGCTAACATCTTCAAGAAATTGCTCTTTGTTACTGGTGTCAAAAGTCTAAAGTTCTTAACCTTGGACAAATAGAGGTTAAAAAACCAGCCATCAATAAAAGCAGGGGAAGGGATCAAGTTTAATACAAAGAAACCTGACACTTCTAGTAGTAAATAAATGTCTATAGTTGGACCTTCATGTCAAAAGGAAATTAGAAAGATCACTCAGGAACTTGTTCTGATTAATTGGTGGTTCATAAGTTTTCTTCACTCTGTACGAGTCCTAGTGCTTCTCCTAAATTCAAATTGTTTCTTATGGTCCTTCTTCCAACGCCTCCACCTGTGCCTTTCCTCATCATTGCAGAAAATTCCTTATAGTCTATCTGCCCATCCTGCAAATTGAAAGTTCTTTTTTAGTGCGAAAAACGCAAGAACGGACATTAAGAATCAACATCAGTATACTAGACAGAAAAACAAAGCACAAGTTGCACACAAATGGAATTAGTATTGGGAAGTTGATAAGTGAACTGAAGTCCGTGTGCTGATAGGAACTCAAACAAATAACTAAACCTTCACAAGAGAGTGAGAAAATTACAGCTCTATTTAGCTGCACAACATTAAACAACTTAAAAAGAAATTGCTCGGATTGATACAAGCAGATTCTTATGTTACTATACACAGTTTAAATCAGTAAACTCGTCTTCACCATTGGTAAATGCAGTACGAAATAAGACTCGCTGAATGGTTTCTTTCAAAATCATAGAATAGCTCAGAGCAGAAATAAAACATCACCAGATTTCACGATTTACAGCCTTCAATTATATGATGCATCTAGTAGAATGAGGGTTGGGGAGATAGGGGTAGAGGAACAGTCACTGACATTCTCAACTCAGAAGGCATGCATGGAGATTCTGTCTGTCGGAGGTCCGAGAATTAAGAGCTGTTATAATGTTTTTCGGCTTTACGTGTGTGCTTGATATTGTGTGCATATCTGGAGAGCTAGGGCCCAGTAAGCAAACAACAGGAAATTCTAATCTAAATGGAAGCTAGTTGGCACTGTTTGATAAGATAAGTAATTATCCTTCCTAAGATGCTAGGGGTCCATTGAAATGCTTATACATGGAAGTTAAGGTAATGGTCATGAAATCCTTCGTATGCACTGCCTAACATGATGAAGATGCCAAGACGGGACAGGGGTAGGTCATGAATGGGCTTTTAGTTCTTATGTTTGAACAGATGGCTTTTCGAGAGAAACAATATAGCAGTCAAAGAAAAAAACTTCTACTTCCTTTTTGCGGTGGGAGGGTGTCTGTAATAGTACTTGGTATCACTTGCTTTTGTCCATTGACAATCTTTTTCAGCATATTTTGCACAAATTATGTTCCTTCTTTTAGTTAGCTAAAAAGTGAGAGGAAAAAGCAAAAAGCAACTCCTCAAGTCTAAGTCACAACATGGTCAATTTATCTGTTCTTTGATCCAAGTGTTTCTATGGTAAGCTAACTTATGACGGGAAGAATCGAGTGTTCAACTAAAAACCATAAGGCAATCAATGAAGTGAATCAAAACCTTCATATACTCTTTCGGATGACCGTGTTGGCCACTATATAACTCAACACCTATCCGAGTGCGAGGTTCTCGCACAGACTTTAATGTGTATTTATTGGTATGCGAATGAGCTTGCTAAAGTTGGCTCTGATATCACACAAAAAATTATGAGCATCCAACCCTTAAGGCGATGGGTAGAGCGGCGCACGATCTTTATAAACCCCTTTGGATGTCTTTTAATACGTTAGTGGACATTATGTAACTCAATTCACCTTTACTCCTTATATATGTGCATGACATAAAAACAGAAGAGGATAGAACTTACATTATCTTGATCAATATCTTTGATAATTTCATCAAGATTCAGCTCGCTAAGACCAAATTCTTTGCAGGCTTGCTGAAGTTCTTCGATAGTTATGTATCCACTACCATCTTTGTCAAAATAAGAGAAGGCTGATAACAGATTCTCTTCCCTTTCCAATTTGTTCAAATGAACAGTAGCAGCAATAAATTCCCCATAGTCTATTGTTCCATTGTTGTCAATGTCTGCCTGTCAGATAAAATATGGTTGGAACCATGTAGTCAAATGAGCGGAAAAATTATACTGCATAAGAGCATAAACACGAGTGTGTGGTTAGAGGACTAGGTGGAGATATCTCGAAGACACAAAAACATGGTGAGGAGAATTCTTACCGCATCCATAAGATCCTTGATCTCAGACTCCATCAATTCAGAACCCACTCGCCTCAAACCCTCTTTTAATTCCTCAAAGGTTATTGTTCCACTATTGTCTGTGTCTAACATTTTGAATAGCTCCTTGAGACCACCGATTTCTTCTTCTGAAAGCCTCTCGGCAATCACCTACAAATAACAAGAGAATGAGTAAAGCAAGAATCAAAGATATAACATAATAAGACACTGAATATTGAATAGGAATTCATAGTGACTGGACTTGTCAATACAAATATCATATAGATAGCAAGCACCACAATTTTAGTTATAACTTCCATCCAGAAAGAAAAGCCTCCATTCAACAATGATGTCAGCGAAAATTAGGATGCTCATTGAGTTCAAATTATCCTGGTTATTTCATAACAGATTTTCACTTCAAATGTCATCAGCAACACATTAACTGAAAGGGGAATAGGATACTTTCAGCACGATTATGAGAAAAATCTATGGTTTCTATGCACATTTCTCTTTCTCAAGAAAAAAAAGCTTTTTGCCAGGATTTCGAATACAAATCGCCACAAGCAGGACTTAGATTCCAGTGGAAGAATATATAACTAAGTAGTGTGATGCCGGCATCTGTTAAAAATTCAGTTACTTCTGATAAAATTGCAAGAGGATCAATTGTTCGCTCCTTTCCCTATTTAGCTTTTCCCACTCATTTTTCACTGTTGGTAAATTGGAATCAAACTGACATATATTTTGTGATACCATACACACACACACACACACACACACACACACACACATATATATATATATATATAGAGAGAGAGAGAGAGAGAGTACATGTTCTCTCACGAAAGCATGCTTTAGGAAATAAGAAGATAAGAGAAACAGGAAAAGCATTTATTGGGGAAAAAAAGGAGATTGAACAAGCACAAATCAACTGCACTAAGGAGTAAGGAATGGGCCACTATATTGGTAATGGAATTTTTATCTTGCAATTCTTCTGGAACAGAAATTACAAAGACAGAATATGGATAAGACAATGCAGGAGACCTGATTACTTGAACCTATGCTCACAGGTACTCATTTTGACATGACATTAGTTTAACTACATGTAATCAATAATTGCACAAAAAATTAACTGTCTTATGGCATACATATTGGTATCATGAAAAACTGCCAAAAAATTTGCCACTTTTAGACAGCGCTGTATTTAAAATGATATCCTAATTAACCATTCTGGAAAAACTACATATAGAGCAACATATCCCTCCATAATCATCAGCCATCGGAACTATCAATTCTGCAGTTTCAAGGGACATCAGCATTAAAATTTTAGTCACTTTGGGCTTGATATTGCGGCATGATACAGAATCTTATTCAAAGAGAATCCACATTCTAAAATGATGTTTGTTTACCAAGCAAAAAAGAAAAGAGGAGAATTCACATTCTAAAATTTGGTGGCAATCATCTAACTTTTTAAAACCTACAACATTTAAACGAATAGCTGGTTCATTCCAAACATAACATATAAGGAGGCAGCTTCATTGTCTCAATCCTTCATGCTTTTAACTTTTACATAAAGGAAAGGGAACAATTTAAACTCTCGCATAACTGTGATATGTCAAAGAAATACACTTGTTAACAATTTCAAGGTTCTTTATTAATGGTTTTTCTGCAATTTAGTATTTCAAGAAGCAGCATTAAAGGTGCTTGAGCCTTATCTTATGTTTACTGCGGCAAAAGTCCAGTCAAAGTCTTAAACATCGTTTCAATTTTTTAGATACCATTAAGTGCCTAGTTAAATGCTTTTTCAATTGATCAGAGTGTTATGGCTGACAACCTCAAGAAATCTTTCCAGGCTTCTGTAGGCTCAGTTGCCTCATTTATTTTTTTTAAGATTAAGACGTCTGAATCTAAATACACATCTGAATATCAAGATGTGTGTTAAGATTAAGACATCTGAATCTAAATACACATCTGAATATATTAAGATGTGTATTAAGATCTGAATACTAAAAATTAAGATTGTTTGATTTTAACATTTGAATGCATAAAATTTATCTTTACTTGAAAAATAATAAACATAAGATTCAAATGAAATACTAACTAATCTAATATTCTATCAATAAAATATATAGTTTTTTTAAAATATGATAATTGTTGGTGGTGATGGCTAACAGGTGAATACCGACTAGAGGCAGTGGTTGGTGGTAGTTTTGGTTGATGATAGTGGTTCATGCTAGTAGCTAGTAGTGATTAGTAATGGTGGCGATTATGATTGAGGATGGTGGTGGTGGGTGGTAATAGTTAATAATGGCGGGTGGTGGTTTGTGATTGAGGAAGGCCGTGGTAGGTTATAATGATGGGCAGTACCGGCTGTGGTTGTTAATGGTGATGGGGTGGTTGGTTATGGTAGTTGAGGTGTATAAGTATTGATTGTGGGTGAGAATGATGGTGGTCGGAGTGGTGGGGATGGTGGATGGTGATGGTCGATAATGATGGCGGCTATGATTGAGGATGATGGTGGCGTGGTGGTGATGGTGGTGGTTGACTATGGTGGTGGTGGTGGCGGCATGGTGGTAGTTGATAATGGTAGGCGGTGGTGAGGGCGGCAGTTAATAATGAATATGTGATAGCATCTTAATTAAATTAAGTCTCTGTTATAAATCTTAGTCATACAGACCTATCCAGACCCATTAAGTGGTTGTGAAGTAAAAAAAAAAACATTCTTAATGATTAAGATCCGAATAATTAAGATTCAAGACTTTAAAAACAAACTTAATGTCTGAGATCTGAATGATTAAGATTCAGACCTCCATTAAGTGCAAACAAATGAGGCCTTACTTCAGTTTTAGGGCTTTACCTTACACCCAAACCACAAAAATAATAAAATAAAACAGCAACTTTTTATCAACTTTTGTGCATTTTGTATCATAGGTAAATCCTAGATAACATATAATCTTCCCTTCCAGTACTCCACATGGGAAATGGTCAAACTTGACTTGGCTCTCAGTTTCTTTGTATAGGATTCATAGTTGTAGCACCCTTGTTCTTATGAAAGGTTTGTTATAACATCATGTAGAAATGACGATAAACATGGATNCCGTGTTGCAAAAGTTGTTTCCAAGCAAGGAGAGTTTTCACTATATAAACACATGTAAGCGGGTTACAAACTTTTTAAGATCTTACACGTAAAGCCATTTTCTTTAGTTTGTTCATTGCTGAGAACTGCTTGAGGCGTGAAAGAACTGCAGAGTCAAGAGGTTTATCAGGAGCCATTGTGTCATCCACAATCCATGGATGGCCTGACAGTCACAGGAAACAAAAATGTAAGTCATTGTAAAAAGCACTTTGTTTCAACAGTTTTGAAATATGCAACTTCTTAAGTCTCGATTTTCACAACTACAAGGACTTACACAAAACTTCATGGGCAGTTAACCTCCTTTTTGGATTCCTATCAAGAATTTTACGTATCAAATCCTTGGCACTATCTGAAATTCCAGGCCAAGGTTCAGATTCAAGATCTAGTTTGCCTCGCAGTATCTGACGAAATATTCCCATATCAGTTTCTGGAATCAGGAAAACAATAATAAGAATTATAAGATAATATGAGCATGAAAGACGAACTTTATAACAGACTATATCTCCTCCTAAACACACATGGAGATTTCAATACCTGCCCAAAAAGGTGGAACACCACTAAGTAATATGTACAAGATAACTCCTGCACTCCATACATCTGACTCATGTCCATAGTGCTTGCATAAAACCTCTGGGGCAACATAGTAAGGACTTCCAACAACATCCGAAAATGTTTCACCTAATCACAATAACATCATCAAGGAACGAAACTGTTGCTATTAAAAGGTCAGGTCGTTACTCTTAAGTTACGTAGAAGTGAAAAATCACCAATTTTCAGTAGGACAAAGCGCAACACATTTGAATACATTATATCAGCAAACGAAACCGGTAGCTAAGCGTTAGACAGTAAAATAAAACAGAACCTCACTAGAAACAAATAGCAGTAGAAACTAAATAAGTAAAGTCAACTGAAGCTTTCCTTCAGTAAGACCTGGATGAATGGCGTAATTGCATCTAAAAGGAAAATGACATGAGACATTTTGAATAGATACTCATATCGAAAACTAGAAGGACCAGTGAACAAATTGAAGTTCACAACTACAAAAGTCATAATCAGATGTAAGACATGGTTACCATTTTCATTTTCGAGAAGACTACATAAATAGAGTATATCTGGCATTGACCATCTTGGTGAGCTATATAGAATTTAACAAGAAGTCTAGTAATAAAGCAACAACAAAAAAGAACTTTTATGATCCATTTTGGGCTTACACAAAGTACTTCTTAGATTGCACATACACAAATACTGTTATAATGAAAACAATAGATCTCAACAGTTGGCCGGTTATAAAGCAAATCCTGCAGACTCAAAAGTTCAGAAGAAATGAGAAGGGGGAATACCGATTCAAACTAACAAGTTAACACTTTACCAACTTCCAAATACCTACTCTTCTATCATTGTATTCCAGATAAATTCAAATTACTCTTTTCCTAAAGAAACAAGCTTGAGTCTTAAAAAGGTATTAGTAATAAACTAAAATCTTATTGGTCAAATTAAAGTAGTAGTTCTCAAATGGTAATCTCTTTGTAACTGTCCACTTGAGGACTCACTAGTGGCAATTGGTCGTCTCTCTACCCTAAGAAAAGAAGTATATCTCTATCAAATGTGTTACCTGAAAGTAAAGAGACAAGGGAGAGAACCACAGTTTCTCAATCTTTTGCAAACATAAACGCATGGTTTTACATCTTCTCAAGAATCATCATTGATCAAGGTACCATTTACTTCATAACTGATTCTTTTATTATGTTTGTGAAAATCACCAGGTTCTATGATAGTGAAATCTCGTTCATTGCCTACAATCTAGTAAACAAAATTTATCCATATCGTTCATTGCTTACAATCTAGAAAACAAAATTTCTTATACCAATACTTAAAAAAAGGACATGCTTTCCGCTCACCAATCTAGAGAACATCCCACTGCACAGACAAACAGCGAAATGTTAAAACACCCTAAGTATCTTTCAATTAGAAAATCTAAAGGCAATCCACTTCTCATCCAGAATCCAGTCACCACATACAAGCAAAATTCCTTCTTTAATAAAAGGACAATAACAACAGTTACGCCTCAGTCCCAAACAAATTGGGGTCGGCTACATGAATCCTCGCTAGGGCCGGAGCTAGAATTTAGTCTAAACCCTTTATTTGTATCAAGAACCACTAAATATATCCAAAAATTATATTCAGAACCACACCTGATATCACTATCCTAGAAATTAGAACCCATAAGTTTCAAGTCCCGGCTCCGCCTCCAAACTTCACTGACCATTTTACTCTATTTAAACTCATCTCCGGCCGTTATGATACAACATTGGAATGGAACTAAAATGTTGACAATAAATGGAAAGGAAAGTAAACCTACAACAACAACAACAACAAAAAAGAAAAAAACCAGTGTAATCCCATAAATGGGGTCTGGGGAGGGTAGTGTGTACGCAAACCTGGTTTGTAGAAAACAGAGAGGCCAAAATCAGTAGCCTTGAGAGCAGCATCCTCATCAGAACTGAGAAACAAGAAATTCTCAGGCTTGAGATCTCTATGCATAACACCTAATGAATGACAAGCCTCAACAACACCAACAATTGTTTTAATCAATTTAGCAGCTTCTCTTTCACTATAATGTCCTTTCTCAACAATCCTATCAAAAAGTTCGCCACCAGCACAAAGCTCCATAACTATATGCACATATAATGCATCTTCATAAGTACCCTTTATTCTTACCACATTTGGGTGCTCAGATAAATGATGCATTATTTGAATCTCTTTCCAAACATCCTCATAATCTTCTTTACAGATCAGTTTCTTTTTGGGTATTGTCTTACAAGCATAAAGATTGCCACTTGATTTTTCTGTACAAAGATGGGTTGTTCCAAACTGACCTTGGCCTAACTTTTTGCCTATTGTATAAAGACTCTGAAGACTTTGAGTCTTGTAAGGAAGAACCCAAACAGATGATTTCTTGGACTCAGTTGCTGGTTTTGGTTCCATGTTAATGGAGATGTGGTCCTCTGAATCTTGATGCAGAGAGTTTGAAGAAACTGGAAAAGAAAAGTTGGGGCTTCTTTTTCTTTATTCTTTTTCCTCCTTGCTATTTTACTCTTAAGATTTTACAACTTCTCTAGATTCGCTCCATTTTGTTTTACTGTGTGCTGCTGACTGTTTGTCTGAAAATATGGTAACTAAGTATTTGTTTGGTAGTTTAGTGGATGCCAACGTTTACACTGATTTCTCCTTTTTCATTTATCTTCAGTTTTTATTTTCTTTTTTTTGTTTCTCATTAAAGGCCGTTTGGCCGTAAAGAAATATTTGTTATAAATATATTATATTATGGATGTTCATTTAGTGCTCTGTTGTAAATAATCTTCCTGAAGAAGCTTATCCATATGGGACTCCACCGTAAATATGTTTATCCATTTAGTACTCTATTGGAAATAAGCTTCCTGAAGAAGCTTATCACTTCGGTACCCGGTTATGGATAAACATTACCCTAGGTAGAAGATTATCC